AAAAAAAAAAAATCCTCCAAAACTGCATAGTGTAATCCAAGACTATTTAATAAACATCTCGATCGGCTTTGATAGGATCAATACTGACTTATTTTGACCAATAACAATACAAATTATTTTCATGTTTAAGTGAATATATATGAAGAATTTTCTTGCAAAGTTGCTATTTCTATCTATGCAAATTTATATTAGTTTTGTGGTAATGTCTAACAGCTAATTATTATTTGATAATTGTTATTGTAATTATTATCTCTGCTTTTGTAATAAAATATTGAATCAGCTTTAATATTCAATAAAACCATAATATGCATAGATTTTTTTCTTTTTTTTTGGAAAGTTGCCATTTTGATCAAAACAAATGTATATTATTTTTTGGAAATGGAAATTGTAAAGTTACACATTTCTAACTTAAGAACGAATGAATGTTAAAAAGTTGAATACAGGTGACCATTTATCAGTAGACCTATTACTACCAGCACTGATAACCAATAAAGTTGGAATGTATACTTCTATTAGGAACAACTGTATTATTTCTGTACCTATTTATATGCGTGCTATTCCTCCTTGTGAGTGAAGCTGTACGTGCCGCAGTGACACCTGCCCTGCTGCTGTGACTCTTACCTTGTGTGAGTAATGTGGGTCGACAATGCGAGCCAGACCGAAGTCTCCAATCTTCAGCAGCATTTGCTCAGTGTTGATAAAGATGTTCGCTGGCTTGAGGTCACGGTGCAGCACGTTGGCCGAGTGGATGAACTTGAGCCCGCGAAGCAGCTGATAAAAGAGCAGGGTGGCGTGTTCGGCTGGCAACGGCCCTTGCTCCAGTAACCGTGCCAGGTCAGTTTTCATACACTCTTGCACAATGTATATTGCTGACACATGGGTCAGGTCACGTGGTAAAGGGTGACCGGACGGCCCCAACAAGTCATACACCCGGATGATGTTCTCATGCTGCAGGCGGCGGGTGATCTTCACCTCTCTCAGAGCGTGTTTTACGCTGACGGCATCTCGCATGACCAGCTTCTTGACCGCCACACGCAGGCCGCTGCGCCTGTCCACCGCAGAGAGGACAAGGCCAGACGCTCCCGTGCCAAGAGGACGCAGATCCTGGTAATG